GCTGTTCGCTGCAGGGGCGAGGCTGGGCCAGCGGGATGGCGTCATAGAGGTGCAGTGGCGATGACCCTTGTCTGCGAGGAGCTCTCCCCAGCGCGCGTCTGAGCCGGTCCTCTCTGGCGTCACCGGGGTGGGGTACTTAAGTAAGCGCACGTCTCCCGCGAGGTCTTCCCAGAAGGCCAGCCAGTCTCCGCCTCGGTCCTCATCTGAGAAAGTCATCCCCAAGCTGCATTTTCAGGTTCAAGCCCTGGTGAACGTCCCAGGGTCTCAGTGCAGGAAGCGAGCCTCGATCCGGTGGCACAGACTAAAGGAACGCTCAGTGGACCTCGGCTTACCACGAACCCATCCCTAGCCAGCAGAATCTGTCTCAGTGGCAGTCAGGCCTCTGCCCACTTCTGGCCGCTTCTAAACTCCCAGAACTGCAGTGGTCGCTGGCTGTGGTGCCCTGGCTATGGGGCTAAACCAGTCAAAGCTCTTCCTTGGCCTGCTGTGACCCTGGTTGTCCTCTTGGGGGCGAGAAGATCGCTTCAGTGATGGACGTGCCTTTCTCATAAGGAACTGGAGCTAGTGACTGGGGAGTCAGCATCCGACTGGGCCAAGCCTGGACTCCCTTGGTTCCTTCAGTGCTGCACTCCCCTAGTTTCTGATGCTCAGGGACTTCTGTCGCTTCCCTCCCTCTGTCCTTGAACTAGACCTTCCCCTTTCTACGTTGCTGCGCTTATGCATGGCAATGGCTGTAGCTAAGCTGCTAGGACCCAATTCCTCCAGACCCTGAGAATTACTTTTCACTCAGTCCCTGTTGCGCCTCTTCCCAAGCTTCTCAAGCAAGACACCTTTGCAGCCTGTTTTACTTTCCCTTCCTTGACCACCTCTGTTCTTACACTCATTTGTCTGTGCCCCGGTCCCACCCACTCCTGGCCTCCACCCACAGGATTCCCAGCTACTGAGGCTGCCACCCTTCCAGTCACTTCCCCCCTCACCTCCCTTGCTGTGTGTGAGCCAGACTGTCGCTGACTGCTACTTTTTCCCTGTAGTTTGCTCACCTTGCTGAAGGCTCCCTTAGCACTGTACTAACGTACCTGTGCTCTCAGGGCTTGAGGTCCACAGGATGTGAAAAACCTTCATCATTCTGGTATGAAAGGCAAGCAACTCCTCCCATTGCACCCTCCTGCCCCTTTCTGGGCAGGGAAAGGAATGGAGAGATAGCCTGCCCTGGAGTCTGGGAGAATTGCCGCCCTGCCTAGGGTGAGAGGCCCCTATGAGGACAGAGGCTGGCAAGAGGCTAGAGCAGGTGCTGCCCTTGGGCAGTGCTCAGGGTCGACAGCAGACTCAAGACATGCAAAGTGAAGCAGGCTGGGCTTCAGGGATCCCTTGGAGCTGCCCCAACTGGCCCAGACACCGCAGAGCCCAGGCCAGGCCCAGGCAGGCCGTGCCATGGGGAGGAGAGGATGGGCAGGCAAGTGGCTGTTTCCCTGAGCCTTAGTCTTTCCACATGGTAGGAGTTGGTGGGCTGACCCTGAGAATGAGATTACCAGTCAGGGCTCCACACAACTCAAGCTAGGAGGCTCAGAACCCAAAGGAAACAGGAGAGATGGCTGCCAGTTTCTGGAAAGCATCCTAGGTGCTGTGGCACCCTTGGGAAGGTGTGGGCCATTAGCCAGAGGCCTCCTTCTGGCTCCCTGAGGCTGCGCAGCTGGGCATCAGCTGGCCCCTGCCCATTACGCATTGTGCTAGGGTCAAAGCCAGGCACTGTTGGGCTCTGCTACCAACTCATCAGCTTCCTCCCCATCCTTCTAGGGTCTAGGTTTTAAAATTTCATAAAGCCATCAGTTTATCCCAGGTAGGCCCGGGACATGACTGTGGGGCCCCTGGAAAAGGGTGGGCCTTGTCTCAGCTTGCTCTAGGCTCAACGAGAAGATATAACACCTGGGAAATCTTATTCCCTTTATTCTCTTCAACTAATCAACATGACCACCAGTGACACAACACTGTTATTGACACACAACACTCACAAGTGGGGCCTTTTCACACCACAGGGACAAGTCAGGTGAGCGGGGCTTTCCTCACGGAGCAAAGGATTCTGGGAGCTGTTCACCTCAGGGTGGGGGTCATAGAACCCCACCTCTTGGTTGTGATGATTTCACGTCCCCCCTTCAGGATTCATACCGTTATTTAAAGTTCCCATCTGACCTCCATAGCCACATTAGTTTCAAGTTTCACCCTAAGCTAAGACCACTTTCTTTCCTCCCCTCTGTTTCACCAATAACGCCTCATCCCTGGCTGTCAGGCTCCTGCCAGAGAGGGCTCTGGGCTGGTGTGGATGGTTTTGATTGTGTTCTACCTTCCACACTTGGTCCTGATGGCCAGGTGCCTTAGCCTCTGCCTGAGGTGGTCAGAGGAGCTCTGCATGCTGCTCCTTGCCTGTTCCTCCCAAGATGAAGTTGGCTGTGGTTGGGGGGGGGCAGCTGACTGAAGGAGTTTGAGGAGGGGGGCAAGAGAGCAGAGGTCACACCCAGAGGTCTCTGCTACCCCTTTCCCACCAGGAAGCCAGGTCCCCACTGGTCATGCCCATGACATCCATTCAGTACCAGAGCAAGACTCCACCTGCACCTGTCCCACACATGCAAGCACCCTACTATGTATGCTACACGCCATCTTCAACTATACTGACCACCTCCCCACAGGCCACTGCTCTCCAGTACCCTTCTGGGGTGAGTCTTGAACTTGAATCTGAGGGAACCTGCTTCTAGTGCCACGGGGGTTTGTCTCTACATCTTAGTTTCTGCTACCATCTGAGGAGACAAATTGGCCTAGATGGGAGGACTTCTCTCTTCATCTTACAGGGACGAACCTGTGTGACATTTCTGTCACTAGATTCGAAGCAGGGTCCTCCCTGTCAGTGGCACTCTTCTACCTGGCACTTGGGTAGGGCGGGGCTCTAGGTGGATGTTAATGAGGCTTCCCCACAACCATAAATGGCCTGCATTTTCCTCTCCCCAGCAGGCCTGGACATTTCTTCCTCAGTGCTCTAGATCTATACAGCCTTTGAAATCTGAGAGTTATCCCTCTGGGGGCAGGACAGGTGAAGGCTGAAGTTTTCACCTGTTAAACTTCCAGGCAATGGAATTCAAGGTGTGTCCCATAACTCTGCAGGCATCCAGGTCATCCCTCTCTGTACGCCACTCCTGAAGGGCCACCTCACCTGGCCTCTGAGTCCTACCTCAGGACAGTGTGTCACTGGTGCTAGCATGGGGTCAGGGAGCACTTCCTTTCTGACCCAGCTGTGACCGGAGTCCTCTCCACCTTTAAGGGTCTCCAGGACTGGGGGGATCCTGGTGGCAGATGATTCTTTCAAGTTTTTGCTCTTCAACCATTTTAGAGTAACTGTCTCTTGTCACACGTGAGCAGGTCTGGCTGAGTTTATGAAAGGTGTGTCTGTGTTGTGTGAGGAGAGGAGAGGGGCCTGGCAGGAGAGGGTCTCCCATCCTTCCATCTCCTTCCGAAGGTTTCTGGGTAAGGAGAGAGTAATATAGCATCTGACCCTTCCCGAGGCCAACATCAGGCTGGTCATTCCACCTCAGAGACTCGGATACAAAGGTGAGGATGATGGTTGGGCTTCTGTGGCCTCTTCAGGGACCTGTGGTCCAGCTTACTGGGAAGGCTGAGGTCAAAAGCAGGTTGCTGGCTAATCCAAGCTTTCTATTCTGTCATCTTGCCATCTCCACAGAGCACGCACAGGTGGCTCTCAACATAGAGAAGTCTAGGGAGGACAACCACACACAAGCCTTGAGTCTCTGAAGGGATTTATTCTTTGGAGGTTGACTAGCAGCGGTTCTCCCTCTTCAGTGAGGACAGAATTTGAGGAAATGGGCTGCCACTGCAGCAAGACTGTTGGCCGTTAGATTTTAGGAAAAAACCTGACCATGAGACCTGAGAATGTGGCAGAGGCCCCTTCCGGTCCTGGAGGCCTCTGGGAGTAGACTCCAGCTGGGCTGGGGAAAAGAGGGGTCTGCCTGGTGGCCTGAGCTGAGATCTGCTTTTACTTGCAGTTTAACAAGCTCCCAGAAAGGGGAGAAACTGGCCTGGAGTTTGCAAGATTTCACCGGAACAGTTTCTCCACCTTGGTCCGCTTCCTTCCAAGCAAATCTAATGGAAATCCCCCTAATTTTTGTGGTGGCTTCTCAGTATTCTTACACTCAAAAAGTTTTTTTTTTAATCACCCCAAACTTCAGCCTTTAAAAAGGTTTGACATAATTTTTTTTTCTTCCTCATTTTTGGGTTCTCGGTAATAATGAATTCCATTGGCCTATTCCCTGACACACATACAATTCTAAGATTGGCCTCGCGTCAAGGAACGCCTGTGCAGTGAGCTGGACTTTTTCTCTTCCCAGTCTCTCTCCTCTGTGGGTTCAAAAGCGCCTCATCACTTTTTTTTCCTTCTGTTTTCTTCCTTTTCCCACACTATTCTTCAGCTGAGAATTTTCCTCAGTATAACTGTTCATGACTGCTGGGCGAGGGGCTCCCTCCTACCCTTGCGCAGGGAGGGCACTGCAGGATGTTTCAACAGCTTTTGAGGGCTGCCCTCTCAATTCAAGGCCATGTTGTATTCTCTGCCCTTCCTGACCCTCTAGTTTTGATAAGGAGTTCAACAAGGATTTTGATACGGTGTTATGGGATTGCCTAGAGACTTATTGGGACCTCTTCCTACAATTAATAGAGCTTTTATCCACTATGGTTTATAGGGTTTCTCTGCTACAGACTTAAAGGGCTTTTATTTATTTTTTGTCATATATATAGGGTTTCTAACCCAACAGTTTTTCTCTACTGCCTTATAAGTGATTCCCATCAATAATTGTATAGGGTTTCTCGTGACCAATGCAAAAACACTGTTTTTTCCCAGGGTTCATTCTCTTCCACTTCCCTACACTGATAAGGTTGTCCTCCTTTCCCCACATGATTTTTTGGGGCTCCAGTGTTCCTCTCAGGAGAGAGGCCCCGGGTCTCCAGACCCTTTCACAGGGAGACGCTAGGGTGGCAGCTCCTGTGGAGGAAGAAGGCTGCGATTTCTGTAAAGCTGTCTCCACACTCAGCGCACAAATAGGGCTTGTCTTCTGAGAGACTTTTGGGGCTTTGCCCTTCCTTGTGGCCACTGCTCCCTGTGGGACTGGAGGCCTCTGCCTCACCTTTCTGGCTTGTGGGCAGCGGGGCTGGCTCTGGCAGGGGGGCCTCAGATCTGGGGGACTTTTCTCGGGTGTGTGTTTCCTGGTGCCGGACAAGGGCCAGGCGGTCGGGGAAGGAGGCCCCGCAGTCAGAGCAGCTGTAGGGTCTGGCCCCCAGAGGGCTCCTGAGGTGCTCGAGCAGCACAGAAGAGCTCTTTCCCAGCTCAGAGCCCTTCCCTGGCTCAGAACTCTTCTGGGGTTTCCTGCCTGCATGGACTTTCTGGTGCAGCAGCAGCTCAGAGCTGAGACCAAAGCTTTTTTTGCACTCAGGGCATTTAAAGGGTTTTCCACTTAGGAAGGGACTGGCCCCTGCCCCTGTCCCTGTACCAGTCCTGTAATTGGGAAAGGGAAAAGGCTTTTCATTGCCATGGGTGAGCTGATGTTGGAGAAGCACAGAGCAATCCAGGAAGCTTTCTCCACAGTGGGAGCAAATGTAGGACTTGGAGGAGGGCGGTCCTGGCCTTTGGCTGAAGCCCTCCTGACCCTCTGGCACTTTAAGGGACTGGCCGGGGTGGTCAGCTTTGCCCTCTGCAGCGCCCGGGTAGGAATTCCCTCCGAAGGGGAGCCTTGGTGGCCGGAGCTGAGGCGGCTTGGGAGGCGGGTGTGGGGCATGCCCGCCGGCATTCCTGTAGGGGTTTTCCCCGATGTGCACCCTCTGGTGCTGCATGAAGATACCCTCGTCGTTGAAGCCCTTGCCGCAGACCAGACACTTGTGGGGTTTGGCTCCAGGTGGTGGGGTCAGCAGGGCAGGGTCCCCGCGCCCCAGCATGGCGTCCCCCTGAGCTCTGCGGGCGGGCGTCTTGCCCCGCTCGTGGACTGCCCGGTGCTGCTCCAGCTCGTGCGCCTCCAGGAAGGCCTTGCCGCAGTCGGGGCACACGAAGAGGTTCTCGTCCATGTGCGTGCGCACGTGTGTGATGAGGTTGGAGCTCTGGCTGAAGCTCTTGCCGCACTCCGGGCACTTGTAGGGCTTCTCGCCAGTGTGCGTGCGGCGGTGCTGGATGAGGTGTGAGCTGCGGATGAAGCTCTTGCCGCAGTCGGAACACTTGTAGGGCTTCTCGCCCGTGTGGATGCGCTGGTGGCGGATGAGCGTGGAGCTCATGATGAAGCTCTTGCCGCAGTCGGCGCAGATGTAAGGCCGCTCGCCGCGGTGGATGCGCTGGTGGTTGATGAGGTTGGAGCTGACGCTGAAGCTCTTGCCGCACTCTGGGCACTTGTAGGGCCGCTCGCCCGTGTGCGTGCGCTGGTGCCGCAGCAGTGTGGCGCTCAGGGTGAAGGTCTTGCCGCACACCGGGCACTTGAAGGGGTCCTCGCGCAGATGCGTGCGCTGGTGCTTGATGAGCGTGGAGCTGTGGCCGAAGCTCTTGCCACACTCGAGGCACTCGTAGGGCTTCTCACCCGTGTGCGTGCGTTGGTGCTGGGTCAGCTCTGAGCTCTGGATGAAGCTCTTGCCGCACTCCGTGCAGCGGTAGGGCTTCTCACCGGCATGGATCTTCTGGTGCTTGAGGAGGTTGTGGTTCTGGCCAAAGCGCTTGCCGCACTGCGGGCACTTGTAGGGTTTCTCGCCCGTGTGCGTGGCCTGGTGCTGGATGAGGTCAGAGCTGCGGTAGAAGGCGCGCCGGCACTCGCCGCACTTATAGGGCTTCTCGCCTGTGTGCGAGCGCTGGTGCTTGATAAGGTTGGTGCTCTGGGTGAAGGCCTTCTCACACTCCGTGCACTTGTAGGGCTTCTCGCCCGTGTGTGTGCGCTGGTGCTGCACCAGGTTGGAGCTCCAGCTGAAGCACTTTCCGCAGTCGGGGCACTTGTAGGGCTTCTCGCCCGTGTGCGTGCGCAGGTGCTGCACCAGGTGTGAGCTCTGCGTGAAGCTTTTGCCACACTCCGAACAGGTGTTGGGCCGCTCGCCTGTGTGGATGCGCTGGTGTCGCAGCAACTTGGACCACTGGCTGAAGCTCTTGCCACATTCATTGCAGATGTAGGGCTTCTCGGCCCCAGAGGGGCGACCCTGCACCAGCTCCCGCAGGCTGGGCTCATTGGCAGGGACCACTGGCGGGCTGTTCCAGGTGGGGAGGGCCCCCCACTGCCAACTGGCTTCACAGGCCTTCGTCCAGTCAGATGGGGCAGGGACCACCTCACGGCCTGTGGGATCCAGAGGGGTCTGGCGGACTGAGGGGTTGGAGGGAACCAGTGGGCCTGGGGGGTCCTGAGAGGCTGAGTCCTGGGAGGGGCTCTCAGGGGGCGTCTCCGGTGTGTCCTTGGATTCTGGACTCTGAGTGGGGTCTCCCAAGATGATCTCCTCCCCAGAACTCTCCTGCTGAGGGCTCTCCGCTTCGTTCCCACTCTCGGCACCTACAGACAGAAAGTGAGTCTCCAGCCCCCATCTCCCTTCAGAACATGGGGTCTGTTCTCTCCCCCGCTGGGTTTCCCTGGAGTCTGGGCCCCTCCCTGAGCTGGGACCACTGTCTTGTCGGGACCACAGTCCCTTCCGGTGCCCTCACCTCCGTGAGCATCATCTGTGGTCTCTTCAGGACCTTGCAGGTCTGGGCCCCACAGTGCTGTTTCAGGCTCCATCCCGGAGTGCAGGACCAGGAAGGATCCAGGGGCCCTGGGAGGGAGAGAGTGGCACACAATGGAAGCTGCTTTCTCTGCTCCCCTGAACCTCACTCCTCCCTGTTCCTGTTCGTGTGAACTTCCATCCTACCACCTCCTTTCTCTGGGCTGGAGCCTCACTGTGGCCCCTTCCTCCCTGCAGGCCTGATTCCTGCTCCAGATCTTAAGATCACAACTCCGCTCTGGAGTTGCTCCGCTTAAGAGAGCAATTAAAAACTCATCAGTCATAACCCTCTGAACCAGACCGGGGGCAGGAGCAGCATCTGACACCCACAGGGGAGGGCTGTTCTCACCTTACACCTCTGATGCCCAGAGGCTGGGAAACCTGTTATTTTGCAAATCAGAGGAAGCTCATTAAACTCAAATTTTCCTTCTTAATGGGGCGGCTAATTGAGACCAATAAACTTTTACCCCTATGAGCCCTAGAGAGAACTCAGGCTGACAAAGAGTTAAAACAAAAAAACAATTTTTTCCAAGAGGGCCCAGAGCTCTCCAGAAGGACCAGGATTCTTTTCCATTATCCAGAACAGAAAGTGGGTTGGCCTGAGGTGGGGGAGGGGCTGTTTAAAGGCAGGGGCTTCCGCAGGGAGCGAAACACAGGGAAAGTGAGTAGAGGTGTACAGAAAACACCTGCAGATATAACGTGCCTGCCTGGTACACTCTTGTTTCTTGCTCTGCCCTGGTGGAAGTCAGGTTGACCATTTTACAGATTAGTAAACTGGTGTGGCAGAGACTTCTCCAAGTCCCAGCCCAGGAAGTGGCAGAACTCAGTCCACAAATGCAGGGTATGGCTTGCCCCTGTCACTGCGGGCAGAAGGTGACCTTGGGAGTCATGTGAGACTCGTACTTGTGGGCTGCTGGCAGGAGGCCAGTGGTGAGGAAAGCTCAGACCGATCCTGCTGGCCGTGAGAATGGGTTGGAGAAATTCCTGGGACCAAGAGTTTCCTTGGCTATAAAAGGAGGGGTTGGATCTGTGACTCTCGGTTTGTGGATGTGTCTGGGAGCTCAAGACAACCTTGTCCTTCTAAGCCTTCCATTTCCAGTCCCATCTTGGGACCCATTTCTATTCCTTTTGTTTCATTTTTTTCATGCTGTATCACAGCCCTAGCACAATGACTAGCATATAGGAGGTGCTCAATAAACATTTTGTTGAATGACTGAGAGTTCAGTGAATGAGCTAGATGCCCTTTGTTCCTGGAAAACTTTGGTCCAGTGCCTTTAAAGATTCGTTTGTGGAGGGATGGTGGCAAAGGAACCAGGCTTCAGAATGACCCCCGTGGAGAAAATATTGCCAATTGTCAGTCTCAAAATGGTGAGTTGATCCCAGAATGAGGGAACAAGGCCACAGGAGCCAAGGACTTCCCACATTTCCACCCAAAAGGGAATCTCTGGGAGGGGCCTGGGGGGCAGCAGGAACTTGGTGCAAAGGAGACATGGCAGGGACAGGAGAGGCAGCCGAGAGGTGACCAAGGTGGAGCAGAGATGGCTAAAGCCTGCCAAAGAGCAGTAGGAAAGAATGAAGTTAAGATTTTAAGAAATAAATGAATTTCTTCACCTCTGCGGCTGTTAGGTCTGAGAATTCCCCTGTGTCTTGGGGAGGCATAAGCAGGGACCCCTGCCTGGCCGGGAAGGACGGTTGCCCTGCTGTGTTTGCTGGCGACAGGTAAGAGCTTCCGCACCCCGAATATCTGGGAAATGCAAACTCAGGGGTCCAGAGTAGAAGGGAAAGGGTTAAAGCCAAGGCGGACACGGAATGGAGACGACTAAGGGAGGCACAAGTCCTTGGAGCCAGCCTAGGCCCCGGAACACCGGCCTGGACCTCGGGACACCCAGGGCTGAGGGAGGGAAGGGGAGCCGGCCTCCTGGAGAGGTGTGGGAGCGGCCCGGGTGACCCCAA